GTTGTAGCCAGCGCATTGGTCGGTGGCCTGGTTGATGAAGTGGGCGTACCAGTTGTGGTAGTGGTTGCTCCGCCACTCGGAGGCGTCGGAGTCTTGGAGTAGACCGGTGAAGGCGGTGGCGATGTCGCTGCCATTGCCTGCAGCCGCAGGGACGACGGTGCACATGTAGGGTTGTTTGAAGAGGGACGAGGAGCGGCGGTGCGCGGAGCTCACGGAAGTGGCGTCGGAAGGCGGGGGAGGAGCGGACGGCGCGGAGAACTGCGCGGCAGGCGAAAGCCGCGCGGGCGAGACTCGTAACGGCGGGGAGGTGCAGAAAGATTTCGAGGAGAAGGTCATCACTGAGCGCGGTTATGGTGGTGGTGGTGGGAGCGGGTGGCGGCGGCGGCGGCAGTGGAGGTGGCGAGTCGGCCATGGCTGTGACTGCGATCCTGTGAGGAGTGGCCGATTGGGGAATTTTATGGAACGGAACACTGGCTCCTGATGAAAACGCAAAAACACAGCGCTTACAGGCCGGCCCATGTAGTACAGGATCATACGTTTTTCTTTTGTTTTCCATTTTTACATGATTTCTTTTTGTTGTGTGTGTTCGATCGCAAAATAAATCACATACGCGACTGGCGGCAGGTACACGCCCACATCGCAGATCACCAAATTGTTTTCTAATAACGTTCTTCTCCTTTTCTTATCCTAGCACACATGGTTTATTTTCAATCGAAAAAAGGTCTACGCACGATATAGAAATGTGTTTATTTAGATAGTGTTTGGTTAAAGAGATGATTCTATTTTTCATAGTATTTATTGGACCGGTGGGATAGAGTCATCCCACCTAGAGAATATTCATGTCATATTTGGAATGAGTAACTTCAAGAGACTCTTTGTATCATTTCTAATGGTTAGAAATAGAGATTTTGATAAAAAAAAAATAACCTTCGACAGTTTCTCCTAGTTTGGCAAGATAGTAATCCTCTGTTCCGGATTTATCGCTAGCGAAAGCAAGAATGACTCTCTAGAGTGTGTACCAGATATAAAAAAGTTGTCGACGAGTGAAAAGATTTATTAAATGATTTTTATGCAAATGACTCCCCAAGTAATTATTTAGAGAGTAAGTTTTAGAAAGACTTCTAAAAATTCCAAAACATACTCCCAATCTAGATTTTTCTGGCAAGATTTTTAAAAAAAACTATTTCCAACAACTCCCTATCTTAACCCCCAATCTTTCCGCACTTGGGAAAACAATCCAATCGCGCGGATAAATACGTGTGTGTACCCTTCCGTCAATTTAAAGGTGGAAGGATGTGGGGAAGAATAAAATGTAGGACATGGTTCCTGATTCAAATATATAAGAGAGAAATAAAATATAAAATTGCTTAGGATGATTTTAAAATAGTCCAGGATTTCTGATACAAAATTGTCTTCTATATATATTTTATGGTCTAGATTTTGAAATATATTGGAGGAACCCAACAAATATGCTCCCAACTCTTTTTTAGCCTCTTGAAAACTCATTGATATACCAATTGCTTTTTTGAACTGTTGAAGATGCTCTTTAGATGCCATCTTGGTCGTGTTCTTATTTTGGGCTCAAGCTTGCTCTCTCTCTCTTTTCATTTGGTAGTAGTCATGCCGTTGATTTCAAAATCTATTTTTCTTTTGCTAGAAATGATTTTTTCTTTGCAAATATAGTGTTTCTTTTATACTAAAATAAACAATTATCCACAGCCTTGAAAAATGTTCCATCATGATTAAAAAAGTTTATTTTAAAGGAAAAATATTCCACCTAGTTAAAGGCTTAACTATTTTATTCGCAGAAAAAGGCTCAACTATTTGTAATTGTATAAGTCAAAAATAAGATGTTCATTATGCCATTTTTAACTAGCACATGCCATAATTTAAATTATTGTAGGACATATTTTTTAAAAACCATTTTGGTAAAAAAAACTGTATTAAGATATTCTATCTACTCCCAAATCAATCAACTTCTAGAGTTGTCTTAAGTCAATCTTGATAAGTTTAACTAGCTTTATAGAAAGGAGCATCAATATTTACGACAACAAATTAACATTATGAAAAGAGTTCAATGCACCAGAGGTCCATTAACTTGTGAGGAGGTTTCGGTTAGATCCATCAACTTCCAAAGTGGTTTTTTAGTCCATAAACTTTGTATGCCGTATCACTTAGGTTCATATCCTGCCACGCAGGCTTCTCATGCTGACGTGGACGGCTGACATGTCCTTTTGAAGCAGCTCTTAGCAATGCATTTTGTCAAACAGCTTGTGGGCGAGCGCCACTGCCTCGGCGCCGAAAAGCGTGCAGTACGCTGACGCCCAACCGCGCGCGTGCATCCTAAACCCCGTGACCATGCCGCCGCCACCGGAACCGTACATCCAGCCAATGTCTTAGCCCCACCTAGTCCGCTCCTCGTACGCGCAGCTGACGACGTGGATCGCCTCCCTGAGGAGAGAAGAAGCATCTGAGGCCGTGGACGAGTCGCCGCCACCAACGCCGTGCACTTGGCTCACGAACGCTGACGCGATGAACTCCGGTGAATGGCCGAAGTGCTGCTCCAACGCGTCGCGGTAGGAACGCAACCTCCGCCTTCTTCCTGCAATGCCAGCGGTTAGGACTCTGAGCAGGTGAGCACTGAGAAGGAATGAGAATTGCTAGCTTCCATCGACGTGCCTGCTTCGGTCAGCTCGTCGGTGTCCTCCGAGTCAAGCAGAGGCACGGTGGACATGGTCCTCCTCAACGCTCGCTTCTTCACCTTCCCGAACCGCCACCACCTGCTCCGGTGCACCGACGCGTCCTCATCGTCGTCTTCGGAGAACGCGGGATCGAACCTGTACAGCGCCTTCATGTTGAAGTAGCAGTCGGAGCCGACGTACACCGGGCCCTGGATGCCGTCCAGGCACTTCATGTCGATCTGAACCTCAGCGTGTGTCACAAAATCGGGTGTTGGTGTTACGCGACTCGGAGAGCAGTGGCGGACAGCGCTGCAGTGTGCAAGTAAAGCTTTGATCGCTTACGTCGAAGAAGACAGAGTCGCGAGTGGCATGCCGCTCGCCACCGTCGTCCTCGACGCTGATCCTCAGCCGAATCTGGGCGGCACGTCCCCGTTCCCGCCTCGTGGTCCATGAGGAAGCACATTGCCTCCCTCGGGGCGCCATTGCATGCGTAAGCGTCATGGTCGTGGTCGAGGTTGAGCACGTGACGAGCCGTTCGTCGGCCAGAGCGCGACACCCGTAGTCGCGAACAAACAACTCGAAAAACCATCGTAGGTTGCGGTGAAGAAACGGACCCACGACGGCGCCGTAGGCGTTGAGGCGCCCGACTTTCGTGTGATGTTTGGAACCCGGCTTCTTCTCCCGCGACACGTAGAAACGGTAGAGGCAGCTCGTTCCCCAGCGGCGTCGATCGTCGGGTGCCCAAGAAGAACCTGGACACCATGAATCAAACTCCATCGGATGTCTCGCTTCTGGCCGCACGTTGGGGTGAGGTGCACTATGCAAAGAGTCTTGAACTCTTGACCTGTATCATGGCAGGATGGTCTCTTGTGTTGTTCCCGGGCCACGGCGTGCCATCCGACATGACCCACCCGTCCTCCGGCACCTTCCTCGCCTTCGCGGCGAGGTAGTTCATCCTGACCTTCAGCTCCTCGTACGCCCTCTGCAACATAGCCAATTACTCACGATCACCTGGGGTCAATCTCTTCTGCTGACCTATGAGTGATGAGTGATCGATGACCTTCATGGCGCGGCGTTCCTTGACGAACGACGGCGCGGCCCTGTCCCTGAGGTAGTCGACGCCACGAGCAAAGTACAGCTCAGGCGCCCTCGGCTCCACGGTGTGACGCCGGCAGAACGGCACCCACCGCCGCGCGAACCCGGCGGCCTCGAACAGCATCATGTCGCGCCGTCGTCGGAGACGAGCGAGTAGTCGACCTCCAGCGGCGGGTAGTCCGCCCGCGAGCACCGACAGACCGTGGTTCGCCGTCGCCAGCCGAGGCTCGATGACGTACCGCGCCCGCCATTGCCACGAAACACGTCCACGCCGCCCAGCCAGCGACGACGGCTTTCGCCATCCTCGACGTCCCCGCTGTCGTCGTACCTTGATGCCACTGCCGAGGTGCGTCTCGCGGTTGGTCGGGGACAGCCGGGGAGTTGCTTGACGAAACCACGCGAGGGCGAGCCATGACTCATAGACGAAGCGCCAGAGCCGAGCTAGGGCAAGCTGCCACCCGGGTGCGTGACGCGGTACGGAAGAAGGCGCCGGAGTGCGTGGCGGTAGCGCGGACAGCTGTTTGACAAAATGCATTGCCAAGAGCCGCTTCAAAAGGACATGTCAAGCCGAGCCACGTCGGCGATGAGAAGCCAGCGTGGCGGATATGGACCTAAGTGATACGGCATACAAAGTTTATAGACCCAAAAAGCCACTTTGGAAGTTAATGGACCTAATCGAAACCTACTCACAAGTTAATGGACCTCTGGTGCATTTAACTCTTATGAAAATATATCTCATGGTATATTAATGATACTAGTTTGACGTCATAAATATTTATGCTCTTTTAATATATTTGGTCAAACTTAAAAAAGTTTAGCTTCCGACAAGCATAGAAGTCGATTTATTTGTGACCGAGGCATTAATGTAAAATAGAATGTGATAAGTATTTTTTATCACAATAAATACTCCTGCTAAATTTGTGATAGACTGGTAAGGCATGGCACTACATTTGGCCATTCTCCTCATCGCCTGCTAGCCAAGTGGTCAACACCTTCTGCCACCTGGTACCTACTGTGATTTCTGGTCACAGATATATATTCAATGCTTATAAAAATGTGTGCACATAAGTTGGTAGTAACTAATGATTTTTCTGCATCACAAATTCTAGTTGACAGTTGACACAAGTTGAAGCTAGTCTTTCTGTATAAAATCCTTCTGCCACCCATCCCCATCTCACTCACATACATAGGACCTGAGTGAGAACAAAATAATCCACCTTAAAAATGGCCATGGCAGCCGCCACCGCGACTGCCAGCATTTTGCTCTTTGCTCTCTTCTTCGCCGGAGCTCACGCCGAGCCGGCTGAGCTCCCATGCGCGCAACCCGCATGCAAGACGGTGGGCGGCGGGAGCCAGTTCTTCGACGTGCAGTTCTGCCTGGCGGCACTCGGCTCCGACGGCCGGAGCATCAGCCACTGCATGGACTACCAGGCCTACTCCGTCATCGCCGCTGACCTCCTCAAGGCCAACGTCACCGCCACGGCGGCCAAGATCGACGGCCTGCTCCGGGACAGCGGCGCCGGCGCCGGTGGCAGAGATGACGGTGGCGACGAGGCCACAGCGCGCTGCCTCCAGTCGTGCCAGGCGCTGTACGGCGGCACGGTGCGGAGGCAGCCCAGCTGCGCAGCCGCCGTCCGGGGCGTCAGGAAGGGCGAGGCGACGAGGTGCCTGGAGGAAGCCGCCGCCGCGGCCAAGCAGTGCGAGGACGGGTTCCGGAGGAGCAAGGTGGCGTCGCCGGTGACGGCGGAGAACCAGAACGCGTTCATGCTCGCCAAGCTCACCGTCGCGCTGCTCGGCGAGGTCTATGCTAATAAATGAAGAGGATTTCTTCGTAGTATATAGGGAGAAAATGTTGCTGTAGACTGCCGTTTTTTAGGGGAAAATCATAATAATAAAATGAGTGAAAAAAACTATTAATTGAAAATGGCGTGACACAATACAAAGCAAAGAAAACCTGATGTGATTTTTATTTACTGCATCATGTTATTACACAATACAAAGCCCTGTGTTCAAGATGCTAACAACAACCCCTGTAGCTGCTGGCATTTGCGTATCACACCTTTTATATATACTCCTAGTGTAGAGTACCTGCCACCAGCCTAGCTCACATCTCGGCGACAAGTTTGGACTGAGCCAGGGCGAGATCGAACGAGCTGAAGGAGTGAGGAGCTAGCGTGACCTGCATCTCCCCTGCAGCATTGCTCAGATCGCTCTTCACCGGCACAACCTGCAGCGCAATTGTTCACCGCCAGGTTTCGCATTCAGATGGGATATCAGTAAACACAAGATTGAAATCGAAAACAGAGCGCAAACATGCTTTGAGGCATGTGATCATTCAGACACAGGTAATAAGCACAAACAAGGGGGCAAATTTACCTTGGTTGGGTTACTGAAGGAGTTTTCGTCCATCACATTTGCTGATGTGAGAACAGTGGCGGTTGATCCCAGAGCGTTGATACTGGCCTGGAGTCCACTCGTGGAGATTGTCAGGGTCACAGCATCTGACCCAAAGTTTATAACCTGCACAGGAGCTTTCTGAGATCAATACAAGTTTGTAGTTCCCTCATATGCAGGATGTATGCAAGGAAATTGTTTTACTTGCCTTTACTCTTAGGAAGCTGTTCTCCGAGTCCTGCCATGTAATCGCAGACGCTGCGAGCGAACCAGAGTAGCTGGAGCTGATTGTAGTTGGATGTAACATAGCACCACTAGACTCGCGGAAAAGCGTCTGCATCCAGTAACTAGGAGTGCCATAATGTTGCCAGGAGTTGAAGACGATAGCGTCCGGGTTCCACCTGATTGATTTATCCCAACAGAACTATCACAATGTTGGATTGACAAGAACACAACGAGAAACAGTGGGAAAAGTGTAAGGCCATATGTACTAACGTTTGGTCATTGTTGTTTACGAACAGTGGCGCGTAACTTGCCATGTAAACAATGTCACTGCAAAGAAGAAAAACAAAGGTCATCAACTCACTGTAAAGGTTATCTTCGTAAAGAGACTAGAGCAGGCAGAATTCTGTCAGGTCATGTGACTCAACGAGCAAATATAACATCTAAAATTCATCTGCAAAGACTCGGGTTTGATCATCCAGTAACCTACAACTAACAATTTCAAAAAAGGAGAGATCACCTATTCTTCTCCAGTCCAGTAAGAAAAGCAGCTTCTGCTAATGAAGCAAGAAGACTTCCTCTACCTGCATCACCTCTCCAAACAGCGTACTCACTCACAAAAGCCTGCATTTGAATCATATCCAGAAGATATTTACTGTCAAAACAGAATATGGTGACGTCAATGTAACTAAGCAAGAAAATCAATGAAGTTCTTGACAGTCCCCAGAACATGGAAATAACATCACAGATCACATTGGCCCCACATATATGTGTTCCTCATTGTCAGTTAGGATCACAACTCACAACACCTAGAAGAATTGTATCCTCTCTATCTCTCTCAAGCGTTATGCACAAATATTCTACAAGAAAAAGAGGACTCATTTCATATTATCCTAAGAACATCCCAAGAGAAATGTCAAGAAATCCCAAATACAATGTAAATGACAATGTAAATGCTACTCATGAAAGAGGGCTTCTTCACAAGAATCTTCATTGTGAAATCGAAACTTACCTTGGGCCCACTACGAGATGTTCTGTCAAATGTGCTCTTCATGTTGAACAAAGTCTTAGAATCAGTATAGACCTAGAAAAAAGAAGCACCACTGAAATTTAAGAGAAGGCAAATAAATAATTAAACAGAACTGCAGGATGAAGACAGAAAACTGAGACAAATAGACTTGCAGCAAGAACTTTACATGGAAGTCATATAAATCAGCAGGATGATCAAGTGGTGTAGATGAACCATCGCAGTTTGAAATCATTTGAATGTCTGGGTAGGCCTGTCTTATAGCATTGTAGAACTTCAAGTAGTTACCTGATCAACAAAAAATGAGAATATCATGCCATGAAACAAAAAGTAGGTTACAACAGATTTTAGCAAGTATTTTCAATGTTAACTACCACTGGGAGATATGTTCAATTTAATTAAGTTTCTTTGCTAGTGAAGAGAGGTTGGTTAGAAACTGCCAAAGGATGCACAAAAATGTAGATGGTAAATTTACCGCGGTAAAATTTTTTCCCACAATCTTCATTTCCAATCGCAACGTATTTCACTGGGAATGGTTCAGGGTGCCCCATTGCAGCCCTAACAGAGCCCCATGTTGAATTTGCACTCCCCCTTGCAAATTCTATACTGTCCAATACATCCTGTAGAAAGACAAACAGTTCCATAAAGAAGAAGCTACAATTATGAGTATAAAAACTACATAAGTCTATGAAAGATATAAGGTATCTTATTGAGTTTGGTGCTATTCATATAAACATAAAAGGTTAGTTCATGGATAATCTTGGTAAAACCGAATGTAAAACTCAAGCAAGCATCATCTCTGCATGTGAAGTTGTGACCTGAATTAAAAAGTAAAGGATCAAGTCCACCATAATATAGTTTTCAGCATTCTTGAAAAAGAAATAACTTTATAATTATTCAAAACTAATAATATGTAACTGTTCTCATCATGGACAATAAAGTTTTTAATCTTGAGATATGCTAACTTACTCACAAAAAAATGAAATGCTATTATAACATCTAATGTTCTGATATACAATGGTAATTTGCACCCATTGTTGAGAAAGTATGATGCTTTAAATTTGTGAAGACTCTTCTGCCTCTATACCAAGAAATGTTTAGTATGCTAGAGAAATAACTACGGAGTCAAAAACATACCTTTACAAATGGAGTAATAGCAGCAGTATCAACTTCATCATTGTGGCTGACTCCTGAGTTACAAGAGGGAACTTTCTGTCAATTAAGAAGCCAACAGTGATAAAGGTTTAACAAACCTGAAAACAATTACCATTGTTGAATACCCAGATTGGCTCAGCATCCAGGTCCTCCGCAAGCTTTGATGTATTTTTCAGAGCTAATTGTTGTTAGTGAGGGCAACAACAGGGAAGGAAAGGTCGAATGGAAGCAGTTTAAACTGGCACCTGAAGAAATTCATAGTATCCAAGGCCATCATCAGTCCAGTAATGCCAAACATCCCCGAAGTGTCCAGGTCTCTCTTCCCATGGACCAATAGATTCTCTCCACCTAAAGGCATTTCTTAACCACTCACCTTCTACAAAGCAGCCTCCTACAATAGTATCATGCAATCTAGTCCATTATCTCTAAATGTATTAAGATATTGCAATATATCATATATGTCTTAGCATCAAGAACCTGAGTCTATCTAAATAAGAAAACACAGAGCATACCAGGAAATCTCAAGAATCGTGGTTTTAAATCCAAAATCATGGATATAAGTTCTGTGCGAAAGCCATGTCCCTGTGTGTATGCAGAGAAGCATTGTTGTTAAATACTCAGGTCAACCCTTGCATGACAAACATTGAGTAAACTAAACAGAAGAACCAACATATAAATTCAGCAAAACAGCCTATTGATCAGAAACATTTATTGGTGATTAGATTCATCAAACAAACCAAAGTAGTGAGCAGGATCTCTACTATTCCTGCTCTTAAAATATTGTTGCCAAGTGGCTGCCACTTGCACATGATCGAGGTAACCAGCCCAAGATTTCATGGAAATGTGACATAATTATTGTATTTCTGAAAATAAATATTAGTTATTAATATTTCATACAGGTGTTTTATTGTTCTTATTTGTGTCTTCCACTATCGGAATCAAGAACAACAATGTAAAATACCTTGTATGTGTCTTCAGGCATGAGTGATACTTGATCAAACCAGACAACTACTTTCTTGTTAGCTGTTATTTGAAGCCTTGAGGTTCTATTGGTTCCTTTAGCAACCAACTTTTGCTCCACTTTTGTCCAATTTGATTCGCCGGAAACTCTGCAGCAGTGCAATCCTTTCAGATATCGTGAGCAACCAAATATTGACACTTGTCCTGATACCGAGAAAAAGATACTAACGTTATTGTAGCTGAAGCCAGATTTTGCAACCCATCAGAGCTTGTTAGTGAAACTGTCAAGTCGGTTGCTTCTGGTGACTTAACATACATAACAAGATTGTAGGCCTTTCCATCTTCTATGTTCTGTAAGTTGAAAAAGGTAACATTATACAAAACATAAAAGTGGAAAAGGTAGGAAAAAAGAGCATGTACTGCAGATCTGTCTAATATCAGAACCTGAAAAGTAACACTACCAGAACAATCCAAATAAAACAGTGGAGCTCTGACTGTTGTAATTCCTAACTCTGCTTCTACAGCTATATTGCTACTTTGCTTTTGGATATTGGCATTGCTAGTTACTTATGAAGTTATGATTAAACCAAATCCCGCAGCATCATTGCATTGCGCAATAACAAATATCATATAGATTATTGACATTAACTAAATAGTTTTTACGAAATTATCCTTTTGTCATACTGATCTGAACAGGCAACATATGATAAAAGTCATACCATGCCCCAGAACCCCGGGTTGTAAATACCAACACCACCAGTAGGACAGTTATCGCAAAGGACCTCCATCCTCAGAGCAATGATGTTTCGACTGAAACATGATGTCCGATCAGTCTCCACATATATAGAAGAGTCATCTCCAATGATGGACCATGGGTCAATGTTTGATGGAGTATGGAGGCCTCCAGCTTCAAACCCTGCAGCATAAATGCAGACGCTGTTTATGCATAAATCCAGGCTCGATATTTGGCAGAAGCTTCTGAAGGAAAAGGCCTATTATGATCTATTCAAGCTTGTCCTCAGAATAATTTTTGTATTTATCGTTTTCAGAATCTTTTAGA